CTCTTAATGATATTAGATTGAATGTTCAAAGGTAATGCGTTTTTATGAGCCTTATATATAATCGACAAAATCTTATAATCAACCAACTCATAAAATTTTAATAATTTCAACTGATGAAATAATATATTTGATGGGTGACTATAATGTTTTCTGGTAATAATTCTTATAGCTCTTTTCTGCAAAATAAAAATAGAATTAGTAAATGTTTTATATGCCTTGCCCCAAATTTCAACACAATAAATCAAATATGGAACAATTATTGTTATATAATATAAACAGTGCTTTATCATGAAATAACTCCTTTACCTCATGTAGTACTGTAATAGATTTTTGCTATTTTTGTTCTTAAGTAATTAATATGAGGTTTCCAGGTCAGATTTTCATCTATAATAACCAACATTTCTCTGTTTGTATTGAAAAATATTGAACTGTGAGACTGTTGTATTGAACAGAACTGAAGTGAGTTTTCTTCATTGTTGCAGCCCTGATATTTATATATTTTTACTTTTAAAGTATTTATTAGGACACTTATTTTAGTCCCTTCAGCCTGCAGGTTTCTCTGGCAGCAGAAATAAAAAATGAGAGTCAGTTATAATTTTATCAGGCAGTTCTTTGAACACAAGCTCCTCCTGCTCTTCCAGAGTCCGGACCGTCTGATGGTGATGGAATGTGTCAGCTGTGAAATGAACCTTCTGAAGGAGGCAAAGATGAACGAGGACCGCAGAGTCAGTGTGGCGGTACTGAACCATCTTCTTCTGTGGTTTTTAACACTTTTATCATGAAAATGACTCATTGTTTTAACGTCTCTGTGATTATTATCTGTGAGAGTCTTTTTCTCTGCAGCCACTCAAAATGTGCCGTTATCAGTTTTCTTCTGTTGGAGAGAAATAATCCCACCACTCTGTAGGGCCGACCAGGGACAGTTGCAACACTTTTTACATCTGACTCTGTCACTCAGAGATGGTTTGAATTAAACAAACCAAACTTTAACACAATAAACTTACATCTGTCTGTTAATAGTTAAAACCATTTATAGATGATTAAAACATGTACATTCTTCACTATTTATATTTGAAAATGAAAAATCAGATGTTACAACTGACCCCGGGGCCGGGGACAGTTGTAACATTGTTTGGGGGTGGTTACAACATATTATTAATACAATATATTTCACTGTAAATACAAGTTTTATTATTTTTATATTTATACTATTGTTAAATGAATAAAACCTGTAAGTTCTAATGATATTACA